TGGTAAATACTGTTATAAACCGGTTCTGGAGCGGACCTGTTGTCCGATGTACACAATCAGGTATGTCTTACGGATGTCATGAATGTCTGCAATGAGTACATGAGTGCATGTCTTCAGATGTGATGCCCTTAACTTCAAACTCAGAAAATCGCACAAAAAAGTGATAAAAAAATTGAATGGATTTATAATAAGCGGCGAAAAGTCGAGTAAAAGAATTGAAAGTGAAATACAGGTAAAGGATGTGATGGACAATAGACCACAAGTCAAACCACTTTTCAATGAGAAAGAGTCACAAAATGAATACAAAGGGAGTGCCGAACCAAACAAAGAGTCCGTTGAGAAGATTATTGACAATGATATCAATACTAGTGTTAATGTCATGAGTGGTGACCATAAAAGTGATGATAAAGTGATGGAAAGAAGGAAAGGAAAGGCGAAGAATATTAGGAAAGAGAGAAAATTACGAAAAATAATGGCTAAAGAAAAATGCGATGAAAAGAGAGGACTGGAGATAATGAGTGAAAACTTTAGAAACAAAGCGATCGCTAAAAACAAATGCAAATCACTTGAAGATTATTTGAATGAAATCGAGACTTCTTTGAATGCAAAACATAAACTTAAAGTAATATTTATTTTGTGTGTAAAGTTGTAATATACCGGTATATATGAGAATGAAATTTGATTTATAGATACGTTTTGTGTCGACAACTACTGAGGAATACAAACAGACTTTTGAAGAAAGCCATGAAGTTTATCGCAAATACCAGATGTCAATACACGGCGACTCTCTGGACAAATGCAGTTCAAAGCAATACAAGAGATTTCTAATCGATTCTCCTCTTGAGGTTTATATTTAGCAATTGAATAGAATTACTAAATATATGATTATAACAATTGTAATAAATTGATAGAATGAGAGATGTGTGACAAGTGATGGATTGCCCGATCACTTGGGATCTTTCCATCAACAGTATTGGTTGGATAATAAGCTTATAGCCGTTGGAGTGATTGATGTATTGCCTTATTGTGTGTCCTCTGTATACCTCTATTACGATCCCGAATATGACTTCTTATCTCTTGGAACCTATTCGGCTTTGAGGTTCACATTCAATGCTTTCTTAACTCAAACGTGAAATATAATTAATACTCGATTAATATTATGTAGAGAATTGCAATTAGTACGGAGACTACAACAATACCTACCGGATCTTAAGTATTACTACATGGGCTTTTATATCCATTCGTGTCCTAAAATGAGATATAAGGTAATCATCGAAATAGTTCTAAACAGTGATGAGTCTCTTAAGAATTAGTCTAACTATTAATTTAGGGGCGGTTTAGTCCATCGGATCTATTGTGTGGCGAAACGTTTTCATGGCATCCAATCACCAAATGTGTCCCAAAGTTAGATCTAACTAAATATAGTCGTTTCGAAGACAA